AGAACTGACTCCAACCACTAAGCCCCCTCTCTCTGCCCACCCCCCGCAGAGCTATCAAAGTGCCTAGAACACTTTAGTGCATGAATTATAAACAAATAGATGGAAATGCACTGACCAGTCACAGAGGGGGTTGGGACAAGAGCTTTGGGGTGGGAGGTGTGAAGAGGTCACACATAGCTGGGTTTACGGACCATTGCAATTGATTTCAAGAGCATCCTACCTCAAGGTAAACCATTCTCCTTTCTCTTCCTTTCTCATCACACTGAGTATTTTAAGAGGAGACAGAAGTGTGAGGTATGAATTTGTTTCTAGTTAATCCATGCCAAGGCCCCAGGCCCAGGGCTGGTCACAGGAGGAGGGTGGCCTTTTGAAGCTTTGAGCTGCTAAACCACAGGAAGTGAAACTTGGTCACCAGTAAACAGGTTTGGACCACTGAAGTCATAATTATCATGCAGAAGCTTCTTTTGTTGTTGTTTTTTTTTTCCTTAGAGTTGGGTGTAAGGAAGAAGAACTTATTTTTCTTTTAAGATTAGGAATGTGGAAAAAAACATCTTTTAAAAAAATCACTACTAGGACGACTGGGTGGCTCAGTCAGTTAAGCGTCTGCCTTCGGCTCAGGTCATGAACCCAGGGTCCTGGGATCGAGCCCCGCATCGGGCTCCCTGCTCAGCGGGGAGAACTGCTTCTCCCTCTGCCTGCTTGTGCTCTCTCTCTGGCAAATAGATAAATAAAATCTTAAAAAATTAAATAAATAAAAATAATAAAAATCACTACCTTTCCCAGGCGTCTGGCTGGCTCAGTCCGTGGAACATGTGACTCTTGATCTCGGGGCCATGAGTTGGAGCCCCACTTTGGGTGGAGAGATTACTCGATAATTACATAATGCTAAAAACCATCTTACATGATTTCACTATCCAACCCACAGCCATAGCAGTGGGTCCACCATCCCCATTTTACAGATGAAGAAACCGAGGCTAATTTGTCTTGAGTCCAAAACACATACTTTTTACATCTCTCCTAAATTATGTCCCTGAGCTGCTCAATAACCACCTGCCAGGTAAAGTGAGAAAAAGGCCCCAAGTAGGCCAGGCGCTACTTTGGAGGGCACCTCTATCCCCAGGCCTTTGAGAAAAGCAACCGCTTATCGGATTTCTAATAACCCAGTGCTGATCAGAGCAGGAGACACCCCCACCTTCGCCCTCCACCTTTCCCACCACCGCCCCGGCTAGCTGCTGGAACTCATGACTTGAGGTGCAGCTCAGGCAGGGACTTGGGGGCCAGGGGTCTGCTCCCGGGGGCCTGGAACTTCTCCACCACGCATAACCCTGCCAACGCAGAAATGCCGTGGAGACCAGGCTGACAAAGTCTCACTACGTGCCATCTGACTTCAAGCAGATAGGGACTTTCTTTGTGGGCACTGGAAGGGGGGGTGAGGAGAGCTGGGAGCAGAGGCACCCTTGGGACCCACATGTCCTATCTGTCGAGGGGCTGGTCTCTGCCATATTTGAAAGCCCCACAACAACCACTGCTTTCTCTGCTCTGGTATTTAGCTTTTTATCTTTGTAGTTGTATTGTTTTTAACATAATTCACTATCTTTTCTTAAAGTTTCAAATTCTTGGAGTGTCTGGGTGGCTTAGTTGGTTAAGGGTCTTTCTTTGCCTCGGGTCATGATTCCAGGGTACTGGGATCGAGCCCCGCATTTGGCTCCCTGCTCGGCGGGGTGTCTGCTTCTCCCTCTCCCTCTGCCCCTCCCCCCCGCCCCGCCCCCACCTTGCTCTCTTGTTCTCTCTCTCAAATAAATGATCTTTAAAAAAAATTTTTTTTAAGTTTCAAATTCTGTGGGTCTCTAGAAACAGAAGAGAGGGTGGCTGGAGACCAGGGCCTGAGGGCATGCTGGGCAGTGATCCCAGAGCGAGGGAAGGGAGGCTGGGGGCTGGGGTCCTGCAGGGAGGAAGGGCCGGTTCCGCGCTCGGGAGAGGAACGGCCCACGTCCTCCACCAGCAGGGCTATAGGAAGCAAAGAAGTCTCAGGCTAGATTAGAGCCTAGGACAACTCCACTCCACTCTCCATCACTTTCACTCTCAGGATTTTTTTCCTCCAAGGCACAGGGAAGAAAGACCAGAGAACATCATCGGTCCAGATCCAAGAGCGGTCAACTCTCGCCCCCTGGTGGTCCCACCAGGGAGAGCAAGCTACAACTGAGGCTTGTGCAGTAGGGGAAGGGGAGGATGGCGTCTCAGGGGCCAGTGCTCTGGACAGGAGGTGCTCAGACACAGTCCTGTAGCCCCTGGAATCCTAGGGAGCCCTGGTGGCTAGGATGGAGGAGGTGGAGAGGAAGGGGTAGGAAGAATGAGAGAAGGCGAAGGAAAAATGAAAGGCAAGAGAGAGAAGGTGGGGAGGGTAAGGGGCAGGACTCTAAGCACTGTGGAGAGGATCTGGTGGCATTCAGAAACCAGCTGAGAATTGCTGGCCTGGAGGATGCTGGTGTGTATTGGGGAAGTGGGCTCCTTTTCCATCTCATGCAGCTCAGGAGTCTGAGCCCCACTGATGGGTCTGCCCTGCATTCCAAGCTGCTCTCTAAACTCAATGTCTTGGTCCCAGTTGCTCTTCCCTTGAGGGAGTTGAGTGAAACCCCCTGGCTTGGCCCCCTAAGGTGGTCGTATGCATTTCCCATAGCTACTCACCTGCCTGCAGCCAGCCTGAGCCCTGTCCAGAGGGTTCTGGCCCACAGAGGCAGATACCAACGGGCAGTGCCCCTTCCTGCACCTGCGAGCTGCAGGATGCGGTCAGGAGAGGAAACAGGGCCTCAGGCTCCGAGTCATTCTGGGATTTCCAAAAAGCTTCTTGCTGAGGGCATCAACAGGGCACTGTCTGGGCCACTGAGAATCGACTCATTCTCTTCACCCAGCCCACGGAGGGAGGTGGATGGGGAGGGGAGGGTAGACAAAGTGAGTGAGCCTCATCCTCTGCTAGGCCCAAGGGCCCGAGGGCACCTGAGTCAGCAGGACCATGGGCAGGGAGAGCTCTGGGGTGCCCCCTCCCTGCAGTGTGTGGGGGAGTGCTGTTCCCAGCTCAGAGGCAGCTGCCCAGCTGCCATGAGGCTTTCAGAATCTAAACTATGGAGTTCCCAGCTTTTCCCCCTTCTCCCCTCTGGCAAGGACTCAGAAGCTCTTCCCAAGACGCCCCCGCCACTTCCCAGGACTAACCATCTAATGGAGAAGAAAGTGAAAAGGACAGAAACCTGTTGGACGACGCTTGGTGGCCTCTCCCAATGAGCACCCCTCTCCCTCCTGCCATAGTCTGAGCTAGTCAGTTCCCCGTGAGGGCTCTGGTTTCTGCTTCCAGAACACCTGCTTCCCCAGCCCTGGCTTCTTCAGACCCTGCTCAAACCAGTCCCAGGCTCTGTGCTCAGAGCCGTGTGGCAGCAACTCAAGCTACAGCCTAAGAAGGGCAAATACATTTTGCTTGACTCCTTTTGCATTTTTAATAAAGGAATCAAATGCATACATATCAGAATATTTCACATAAACATTTGGATTTCCAGCTTTTGTTTTTAAAATGGAAGCCCTTTTCTTGTGACATTTGCAGTGCTGGCTGCCTGGAGACAGCCTCGGTGTTGGACTTTGCCATAGTCTCCACCATGCCCTTTTGTGCGTCTCCCCTGCTCCCACCACACATGCCAAGGCGAGGTCCATAAATCAATTTGATTCTATTCTGGGCCTACTGGAATGGCAAAAACTGCTATTTTCTCAAGCAGAATCCTGAAGGTTTAGGGGAGCACCAGAGAGCAGGGTAAGGGCTGGCATCTAGCTGCTCTAGCCCCCAGGTGTGGGGGGCCTGGACTCCTGCTTCCTGGATATGTGTGTGTGGTGCGCGGATATGTCGAGGCTAGAAACTTGGGCCTGGGCATCCCACCTCCCAGCCCTACTACCACCCCACGGCACTGCATGAACTAGTGTTCAGGGTTCTGGCTGCTCAGGACACACACTATTTTCCTTCACATTCCCAGGTTGTCACACCTCTTTTTCCTGGCCTCTAAAAGCCACTTCTCTGCCCTTGAACCTCAGGACCCCTGGCATTGTCTCAGGAGGCTTGGGGCTAAGGTCTTCAGGAAGCTTCTGCTTACCTCCCAGAGTAAAGGGAGGGGTGAATGGGAAGGGAGAAGGAATGCAAATCAATGTTTCAACAAGCTGTCCCATTGCATGACTAATATAATAATGCTTACCTTCAAAGGCACTTTACCCTCTGTCTATCCCTTAAATGTTCCCAGAATTCCACCATCCCTCCCCCAACCCCCTATCCTTTTCTCATTTTACACACCCTTCCTGGGTGATTTCACCCACTCCCAGAGCTGCAGCTCTGTAGTGGCTCCCAAGCCTCTTTCTCCAACCTTCCTTGTGCTTTAGAGCCCATACCCCCCCCACCACCACCAGGCTGTGTCCTCAGGTGAACACATCTTACGCTGAACCCTCAAGCTAGAAACCTGGGAACCCCTTGACTCTTCCCCATTCCTCCCTGCCATGTCTTTACTCAGTCAATTGTGAAGTCAAGCAAGGTCTACCTCCTAAATAGCTCTGTTTCTAAACTCTCCCCACTCCATTTGCTCATTCCTCAAAGTGATCTAAAAGTGAGTCTGCCTAGGTTCTGGATTGACAGTTTTCAGTAGTGTGATTTTACGTGTCAACTTGGCTAGGCCTGTGGTACCCAGATATTTGGACAAACATTATTCTAGATGTTTCTGTGAAGGTATTTTTATTTTTATTTTTTTAAGATTTTATTTTTAAGTAGTCTCTTCACCCAACATGGAGTTCAAACTCACAAGGCCGAGATCAAGAGTTGCACACTTCACCACTGAGCCACCCAGGCGCCTCTGTGAAGGAATTTTAAAATGAGATTAACATTTAAAGGAACAGTAGACACAAAGTAAAACAGATTATCCTTCATGATATGGGTGGGCCTCATCCAATCAATTGAAGGCCTTAATAGAAAAAAGACTGACCTCCTCTGATGAAGAAGGAATTCTGTAAGCAGAGTGCCTTTGGACTCGAACTGCAATCTTCTCTGGGTCTTCAGCATGTCAGGCCATCCTGCAGATTTTGGACTTGTCAGCATTTCCAATAGCATGAAACAATTCCTTAAAATAAATCTCTTTCTCTCTCCATCTCTGTCTCTCTCATATATATATCCTATTGATTCTATTTCTCTGGAGAACCTTGACTAATTCAAGTAGCCTCTCTTCAGCTTCAGGATAAAAATCTTAAATCGTAGCTAACCCACACAGCTCTTCAGTCAACTTAGTTCATATAGTGCCTTTGTACGAATGAGAGAAAGTCACCGCCTCTAGGCATGACCAGGGCACACAGTTTGGTGGGTGGAACACGGGTGAGTCCTCCCTCTTAGTATGGCACACAACCTGGACAACCGTACAGAGCAGCCCTGCTTCCTGATGAGCCTCTGTCTGCCACTTTAGCCTTGTCTTTATTTTCATTCTTTTCCCTCCTCCTCATCCTACACTCTAAGTTCCCTGCAGCTCCTAGAACCTACTGTGCTTCTTTGTCATTATGCTTTTGTATATCCCGTCATTGCTGCCTCAAGATCCTCCTTACACTTCCCAAACTCCCCTGGCACTGCCTTCTCCCGCTTTGCGACCCTCCGTCTGGCCCAGTCTCTTCCTCTCCTCTCTGTCTCTGTCTCTGTCTCGGCCCTGGGTTCTAGCCCTTACTTCATTCATACTATTGCTACTTGATTACTCGCCTCAATTGGGGAATCATCCAGGGAAGAATTTGAACTGTGATCCACCGTGCTGAGCACTAGTAGGTGCTCAATAAGACTCTTGCACAGACGAAAGCAGGGAAGAGTGAGTGAATGGCTGGCTGGCTGGAGGGGCACGAGGCCAGCGGCAACAGTAGGAGGCGCTTACCGGGAGTGGGCTCCTTTCCGAGCCGGGCCGGAGTTCGGCCAGCCGGCGCCCAGCGGGACGACTGGGCTGGGGCCGGACGAAGGGGAGGCAATTCCGGCCGCGCCAGCGCGCGATGGCCCCGCAGCCAGCGCGGTGCACAGCGAGGGAGAAGGGGACCGGCGAGGAGGGGGGCAGGGGCCTGCGAGGGAGCGGCGCGGCGCCCTCTGGCCGGCTTCTCTCATTCTTTCACCCCGGGGTCTCCAGGAATGGAAACGGCCCCCGGCCGGGCCGGAGCGCGCGGATGAAAGGCGGCCCTCGGCCGGAGCGCGGAGCCTCCTCCCGCCCGGGCGGCGGAAACTGGCAGCGCGGGGGGTGTCCCGCCACGCCCGCGTCCCAGAGCGGGAGAAGGGGGCAGCCTCGCCCCCTCGGGCGGGGGTCCCCCAAGGATACGCATTCCTGCTGGCATCTTACCACCCCGACCGGGGGCCCCGCCCCGACTCTTGGCTCGGAATCTCGAATCCCTTCTTGCGTCTTTCCCCTCTTTCCTCTGGGCCTTGGTATGCCCCAGGGGACAGATGTCTTGGGATCTTTAACATTTGGGATGCTGCAAATGCCGAAGTTAAATGAAATACCTCCCGGGAGGGAAGGCCGGGGGGAGACTCGGGGAGAGAGGAGATGGCCTGGACAAACAGGTCCTGAAGCTGCGAGGCAGGAACGGGGGGCGCGGGGACAGGCGGGCTGCGCCAGAGCTCCATGGGACAGGTAAGGGGGAAAACTTAGGGGGACGCAGCGCGGGTGAACTGGGGGGTTCAAGCTCCTGAACCCATGGTCTTCGGCCTTAGCGGAACTGGCCCTACAAGAATGGAGTAATTTACGAAAGGGGTGGGAATTTCAAGTTCCTACCCAAAGTGCACATTTCCGACTCCTCAACCCCTCTCCTCCGACCTTCCCCATGCCTGTGGATCCCCTGGCCAGGTTCCGGGAAGCCAGAAAGCAGCCAAACAAAAGGAGCAAAGTCTGGGGCCGCCTGGATGCGGAGGGCGCGGTGGGGGAGGGGAGCAGGGTGGACCGGACAAAGGGCCTTTTTAAGGAAAGCCTAGAGGTCTGATTTCAGGGCGCATTCCAGGCTAGAGTGGAGTTCTCCTGTCCTAGCCCACTCCACCATCGCCTGCTGGAGGCGAACACCTTTCCCAGTGGGAAGAGAAAAGAGTGGAGAAAGAAAACAGTTCAGGAGCCCTCTCCCACCAGCCTTCGCCTAGAGGGTCCCGGGCTACTTGGCTTCTTTCTGCTCCGTTGACTCCGGCCACTGACCATTGCTTTGTTAATTCATTAAGTGGGGTTTTAGGAATGCCTGAGACGTACTTGGCTGGGTGCTGGTGGCAATGTGAGGATGGTAGGATGAGGCCCTTGCTTTAAACAACTTCCAATCTCACATATGAGAAGAAACTTAAAGAAGGGACTTTAAAAAAATGTTGGAGTGGATGGCTAGGGAGTGTGGAAGTTTCCTGATTTGGGGCTTGTGCTTGGGAAGTGAAAACCTGAAAGAGATGCAGTTTTTCTCCTTTCAACGATCAGATATCAAGTACTCTGACACCGTTCAAGAAAACCACTTCCTCCACCACCAAGTGGTGGTCTTGGTGTTGATGCTCTGGGGGTTGGGGCAGGGCATCCATCAGTCTCTGGGTCCCCTAGGCTGGCTGGGAGGGAGGCACTTAACCCCAAAGTTCCCAGCCAGTTTCTGGGGTACCCACCTCCCTTTTGGTAGTTTGAGTTGACAGACATGGCAGACAGTGAGATCCGACCCATTGGATCTGGGGTTCTTGGGAGAGTTGGTTTGCTGGTCCCATCCCAAACCTCACATTCTGCTGGTCAGGAAATGCTGCATGTGAATTTGAGGGAACAAGGGAAGGGGTTTTTGAGAGTTCCAGGGGATCAGTGCAGTGAGTGGATTATCTGTGTTTTTCTCCTCTGAGCTCAGAGATGGGGGGGTTCCCTGATGGTGGGGTTCTTGACTGGGTCCTGGGCACCAAAGCATCTGTGGATAGAATTCAGAGGGTTTGTGAACTTAGATGGGAAAAAAATATTTTCATTGCACACCAACCTTTAACAAAAATTTAGCATTGTCTTCAGTTAAGAAGGCAAGAAACCATAGGCAGTACCTGTGACTTTGCCGTTAATAGAATTCACAGATAGTTTTACATTACATTGCAGTTGTAACTGGCTTGAAGTATTGTTCACATTCATCACTTCTATGAAATTACTCACTGCTGGATGCTATTTAATGTTAATAAAGAAGCGTATATATTACCATGTTTTCTGTTTTTAGAACTGTATTTCAGTATAATTGGTTCTCTTAATTTCCTTTTGGGCATTAAAATACATGCTATCAGCTGGTTCTAGAAACTTCCATCAGCCCCTACCTGGAGCTGGGGGGTGGGCAAGGTGGAGGAAGGGGACCAGTTACACTGAGTCAGTCTCTCTCTGTTTGTCACCGAAAGAATGTGACAAGCCTATTGGGGGATGGGGAGGACTAGGGGGAGGGAAGGACTGCAGGCTCTTTTGGGAGACCAGACTGAAAGCTGGCTCCACATCACAGGAGGGGTCCGCCCCCTATTGGGGCCCCTCAGCCTCAGCCTGGCGAGAGAAGGCGGTGGCCAGCCTGGCGGACTCTGGGGCTGGCATTGTTTGGAAAGAGGGTGTGTATAGGAATGTGAAGGTGAGCGGGGTATGTGTGTATGGACTCTGGGGACAGAGTCATAGACACAGCTCAGCTCCACAGGAGATGCTTGACGGAGCAGACTTCTTCCATCATCCGGGCCCTGGGGACTGGGGAAGGGGATGGGGTTAGGAGGTGGGGATGGACGTATGGGGCTGGAGGAGGGAAGCAATCCAGAGAGATGTTGAGGTGCCGATACCCCAGGGTTAAGGGGCGCAGTGGGAGTATCAGAGAGTGGGAGAAAGGGAGATGGTGGGATGAAACGTTGAGGGGTGTAGTCCTTAATTTACAGTATGTCTCCGTGTTGTCCATGGTGTAGCAACAGGTGGCCTTAGCCCTTGCTTCTCCCAATGAAATGGGCTAAGTTGTGAACGGTTTTTGGTTTGCTTGAGGATCGACGGAGTGGGAGACCTGGAGGTTTATTTTCTGTAGAGAACAGGTTCCATTTTGGTCTCTGATCCCTCACGTTCGGGGAGCGGACTTAGATGCTAGTGTCACGGTGGCTCTCCTGTGGAGCAGGGGACAGGACTGGTGTCCAGCTTAGTGCTCCACGGACCCTATTGAGGGATGCGTGCAAGTAATAAATAGGCCTTGATGATCCTGGGGGGACATGTCTAGGACGGAAAGAGAGAACACCCTTGCTCTCTTTAGGACCCTAGAGCCTTCCCCTCTGGGGTTCCATAGTTACTGCCTTGCCCGAAGCTTTTTGAAACCTGATTTGGGAGAGCCAAACTCAGGCCTTGGTTTCCATTTCAGTGTATGGAAAGAGCAATGACCTCTTCTTTGTCACTTGTCAATTTCTTGCTGGTATCCCCATGGACAGTGGACCTTCACCCTACTTCTGGGGGTCTTGCAGGCCTTGATTTCTGGAAAGGGAAAAGGAGGGTCAGGAGGGCAGTTGTGCACCTAACCGCTCACCGTGTTGCATTAGAGTCCCTTGAGGCCATGAAGACATGACCCCTGTTGCCTTCTTTGGGGTTCCTCCATGGGGAGCCCCTTTCTCCCTACTCCCCGCCCCCTCCCCACCCCCGGAAGTGCAGAGGCCCCAGAGCTGCCTGCTGGCAACAGCCTCAGCAGGATTAGTTCAGGGAAGGACTTGCTCACCTGCTCCTCCCCTCTGACTCAAGTCCTAACAAGTCACCTGGTTCCCCTGGCCCGGCAGGCAGCCTAGGAGGCCGGCAGGCGGGACCGTCCACAGGGAGGGGAGGCCATCGGCAGCGAGTGGAGAGCGGGAGCCAGGTCAGAGAGGGAGCACTGGAGGCTGGCCTGTGGCCTGGGACACCCTGAGGCGGCATGCAACACCCCTCAGCCCCCTGACCTGGGAACAGCGGGTGTTTCCGGAATCCTGGCCCGGACCCCAGAAGCAGGTGAGGGCAGGGCAGGGTGGAGCAGGTCTTTGGGGCTGAGGGGCAGGCTGGCCCCGGTGGTGGCGAGGGGAGCCCCTGCAGGAGCTGGCACCCCCCCCCCCCCGCCTCCCTCCTTGTGTCTCGGGCACGGGATGATGGAGGGGTTGCTGGTGGGCCCAGATGAGGAGCCCCTTGCCATGGTTTTGCTGTAGTTCTCAGGCCTCAGTCTCTGCAGGAGAAGGGGAGAGGCCTAGGAGCTGACTTTGGGGGTGCATTTGTGATGGGGGGCTCCTCAGTGTCTCAGCCTGAGGGACGCTGCGCTAGTGTTTCCCTTCCTCCCTCTTTGCCTCTTCTTTCCTCCTCTGCCTTTTCCCGGGGACGTTGTTCAGTCAGGTGGACGGCTTGCTAGGACCCAGGGCTGGGGCTTGCCGCGGCGGGGCTGAGGGTCTGGAGGGCGGGGAGGGATTCCTGTGTTGGGAAGGGGTTGGGCATGTGCCCCAAACTGCCTTTATCAGAAAGCAATGCCTGAAACATCAGGCTCCAGAGACTTCTGCCCTGTTGATGGAGGCGGGAGCTAGGCAGGGAGGAGGGTGACGGCTACAAGGCCGTGTGGGGTTCCTGCCCAGCCTGACGTTGTCCGAGGGGGTCCAGATGCAGAGAGGGGAGCCGAAAGGGACTTCCCTAGACACTGTCTAATCTTTGTGCCTACGAGGGAAGAAGGCCCAGCCAGGCCAGGCGACTCTCTCAGGACAGCATGGGCAGTGGCTGAACTAGGACTTGAGTCTCCCAACTTCAGGTGCTGTGCTCTTTGCTCTACTTGGAGCCACAAGTTAGCCCCGAGTGTGCCCAGCATCAGATTGGGGCCACTGTGAATGCCACAGCCAACCCCTTGACCCTGGCAATGAATGCTGGAGGAGAGGGGGGTGTGCCGACGTGGGGCCTCTCCTCTCACACCCACCCCTCTGTCCGGGTGACTCTACGCTCTGCAACAGTCAAGGAGGGAAGCAGGGCTGAGTTATCACAACTTCCCAAGGCAACGTCTTCGTGGTTAATAATTAATTAGCAAGTGTGACTAATTAATGGCTTCACTCACACACTACCTCCTCCCTTGTCCAAAGCAAAATGCGCTCACCATGCGAGCTCAGAGGGCCTTGCTTCCTAGCACGGGCTGAGCCCTGCCCCTGGCCGCTGGGGAGGCTTAGAGGCTGCCTGTGGTGGGGGCGAGCTGGGTGAGCTGCCTGCTCCTTGGTCCTGCTCTCATCTCTAGAGGGATGAAGGTTCGGGAGGGATGGGCCATGCACAGGTAGCTCTCCACTAAGTGTCCTGTTCTGGGTTTCCAGAACATGGGCTAGCCTCTCTCTTTGGCATGTTTGCAAAGGCCCCACATAAATTTTCTTTTTTCTTTTCTTCTTTATCCTACCATCCATTCTCCAGACTTTCCTGGAGAACTGAAATTCCAAAGTGCAGGTACAGATTGTTTTCAGCACTATGTTTTTATTGTTGTTGCTCACGGTACTCTGATGGGCTGTGTGGTTTATGGAGGTTTATAAAAGCGCTCGATCGCTTCTGCTCTTCCAGTCTCGAGAGGCAGAGGTCCTCCTGGGGACCGGGCTGCCAGCAGTCCTTTCTCTTTCTCCTCACCTTGCTTTCGTGCTCAACTTTCCCAAGGCCTGCTTTCCTGGCCGGTGGCTGATGGTGGAAGGGTGGAGCCCACCTCCTCCACCCTGCAGTCCTGTGCTGTAGGGAGGCAGGATAAGCTCCAGACAGAAACTCTGAAGGACTTTTGGACTGTTGCTCAATGGGCTGACTCAGTGAGGAGGTGGCTGGGCTCTCCTTCCAGACCGCCTGCCTGGGCTCCGCCCGCCCCTCCCCACCTCTGCTCCAGCCAACAGCTGCCAGGCCCTGGCCAGCCGGGACCCTGACACACACACACTGGGTCTCTCCTGGCTGTGGGGTATGGGGGATCCCGGCTGACACCTCCTTGAGGGGTCTCCTAGACGTAGTGGCTTGGGAATTATTTCAGGGATTTGGGGACAGCTCTCTGGCACCTTCACCTGCCTTTGGATGATTACCCTGGTCCAGAGGGCAGGGCAGCCCGGGCTTTGAGGGCCCTGGAGCAGCGGCTTGGCCGAGTACCCAGTGCCCACCCACAGTATCCAGTGCTGTCTGTCACCCACTGGGGCAGTGGGACAGGCCTCATGCTTCCTGGGCTCTTGGGCTGAGGATAGTCTGCCCCATAGGGATGGTTGTGCCCCAAGAAGACATCTTCCCCTTCTGCTTTCCTTTCCTCCTTGCTTCGTCCTCCCACCCATCTTTATTATCCTTTTCCTCTTCCTCCTCTTTCTTTCTCTTTTCCTCATCCTTCTCCCCAGTCTCAGTGGTCTCTGTGGCCGCTAAGAAGGAGGCAGCAGGAGGCTAGGGTGGGCCCAGAGAGCCCCCTGAATACAGGTTTGCTGGTGAGGCCCACAGAGCCTTCTCTGCAGCACCCCCAGCACTGAGAAACCCCGTACCCCAGACTGCCCCAGAAAGCCGGCCCTCACTTCCTCTCGCCCTGCCCTCAAACGGCGGATCCTTACTTAAGCTGTGTGTGGAACCAAGGGATTTCAACTACAGCTGGTTTTATTGTTCTCTTAAAAGCTGGGGAACCTGCAGGCCACCGCCACATCCTGGCTCAGGTTGGGAACGGTGTCACCCCTCCCTACTCTGTGCCCCCTCCTCCCAGCAGTCCGCCATGGGGAGTAAGGATGAGGTCAGCGACACTGACAGTGGCATCATCCTGCAGTCTGGTGAGTGGTTTGGGGAATCCCGCCCTGTGGGCCCCCAGCCCTGACCCTCCAAGGCCCCAGGCCCCAGGGCTGGCCTGGCTGAGTGGCTGGACGCTGAGTGGGGGAAGGTGGGAGGGGTGGGAGAGGCCTCTGCTGGGGGCTAGATCCCGGAGGGGCTGCAGTTTTCCCGGATGGTCTGGCCTGGAGGTCTGATCCTATCTGGAACAGGTCTCTGCAACTCTGGCCCTAGTGGTTACTAAGTAGAAAAGTCTTATCTGGCTACTGGAAAGGTCCTGTCTCTGGTTGGCCTGGGTCTGTGGGCCTAGTCTGGTTCTCGTCCCAACAGAAGAGAAGAAAGAAGCAGCACATGAGAGTGAAAGAGAGAGGGAGAGAGGAGAGGGAGGGAGAAGTGGTGGAGGCAGAAGTGAATTGTATGGGTGGAGGGTGGGAAGGGAAGGAACAGAGCTCTGACCAGTAGCCCTCCCGCCACTGCAGATCGCCTGTTGCGGGGCGGGGGCGGCCCTTCCCTGTGAACTGTCATGTTGCCACCTCGGACAGCCAGGAGATGTGGTGTTTGTGGTTACGACACAGGCCACAGCTGCTGACCTGTAATCTGTGGGCAGGGATGAGGCTGTGTGTGTGTGTGTGTGTACATGTGTGCACGTGTGTGTGTGTGTGAGCGTGCACACACGTGCACATGTGAGCACACTCCCCCCCACAACCCCGGGGATAGTTACCAAGTGTCTGAGAGGGTCTCCCCCACCTCGGCTTCCCTGAGCTGGTGCCCTGCCGCCCCCTAGGCCCTGACAGCCCAGTCTCCCCCGTGAAGGAGTTGACCCACGCCGTGCGCAAACAGCAGAGGGCCCTGGAAGAGCGGCTGGAGGCGTGCCTGGAGGAGCTGAAGAGACTCTGCCTCAGGGAGGCGGTGAGAGCCTCAGCTGGCTCCCCCTCCAGCCCCCCAACAAACTTGGGCTTAATTTGAGCCACATTCGGGGATGTTGGGGTTGAGGGAAGGGAACCCCATTTGTGGGAGAATTCTGGAAATCAGGGCGGGGTGTGGTGCCTGGAGTCCCTGTGTGTGCGGCATTTGACCCGGGCGCTGGACCTCTCGGAGAGAAGGAATAGCCCCGGTGGGGCCCCAGGCACAGGGAGGGAAGGACGGAGGGGCTGGAGAGGGAGTAGACAGAGGTGCGTGTGGGACTGTAACCAGGGCCAGAGCAGATCTCTGAAGGAGGTGAGATCTGAAGGGTGAAGGAAAAGAGGAGGGAAGGTAGGGGGTGCCCTGAAGAGGCCAGTGAGACCGGCCCGGGTGATGGGGTGAGGTGAGGAGTGGGCAGGGGCCTCTGGGGAAGGGCAGGCACAGGCGTGCAGAGCCCAGGGGATTGGCTACCCCTGCTTGGCCAAGGGCTGGGCAGGTGGAGAGGGGCCTGGCTGACTTCGCTTCCACCACAGGAGCTGACGGGTATCTTGCCAGCAGAGTATCCCCTCAAACCAGGGGAAAAGGCCCCCAAGGTCCGCCGCAGGATTGGAGCCGCTTACAAACTGGACGAGCGGGCTTTGCATAGAGAGGTGAGGAACTTGCGCAGGCCGTCTCCACCCCCCCAAGTGTTGATCACTGAGCCAAGGCCTCGCCATCTGGAGGTGCCCTCACCCGGTACTTGGCACTCTCCACCCCATCACACCCACTCAGGGTGCTTGGCTCCGTGTTGATGAGGGCCACCCATTAACCTGTAGCCCAAATGGCCGTGGGGAAGGTGTGCCGCCACAGGAACCGGGAGAGCTGGGAACTCGAGAGGACACTGGGTCTGGTCGCCGGTAGGCAGAAGATCAGTGAAGAGCTCAACCGCCAGCCCAGAGAGGCAATGGCCTGTTTAAACAGGTTATTCCGGCCCCTAGGGCTGTCCTCCTCATCGTGGCGGGCAGGCAGCGGGGCGGCTCGGGCCCTAGGATCCCTTCCCCGTGGTGTGAAAGGCGGCAAGCTTCCCCTGGGCTTGCCTGACCGACCCTTGGGGTCAGGAGGGCAAGTGTCCCACTTCGGCTTGCACTCTGCCTGGCTCAGGCGGCAGGCGGGCGGGCGGGTGGGTCCCCCTGCCCGCTTCTCAGGCCGACAGGTTTGCTCTTCGGCACCTGCCACCGCCCCACCCTCTGCCCCCTGGCCGCGGCCGCTGCTGTCTGCGTCCCGGGCTTAGGGTCAGTATCCGGGGCACGGGGTCAGGGCCGTTCTCTGTGTCCCCGCGCGGCCACCTGCCCTCCCCGAGTGAGCCCCCGGCCTCTCCCGCCAGGACCCCCTGAGCAGCCTGGAGCGGGAGCTGGCCCTGCAGCTGCAGATCGCGGAGGCAGCCCGGCGCCTGTGCCGGGAGGAGAACCTCGGCAGGCAGGCCCGGCGGCAGCGCAAGCAGGCCATGCTGCAGGAGGAGAAGAAGCTGAGGGAGCTGGAGCGCTGCCTGGGCGAGCAGCGGCGCACCAGCAGGCCCCCTTCCGCCGCTGCCCTGCCCCTGGGCCGAGGTGAGCCGGCCGCCCCCCGTCCCGCGGCCCCGGGCCCTGCGTGAGCTTACGTGGGATGGCAGGGGGCGTGGCCCGGGGCCAGTGCAGTTGCCTTTGCGCCCAGCACCGTGTTTAATGTCCCAAATTGGCTGTCGCCGGAAGCCTGCTTCCTCGGTCCCCCCCTACCCCCTCCTGACCGTGTGCAGCCCCAACGCGCCGTGGCAAAGGGCTTCTCCGTCCGTGAGACCCTCTCCCCCATCTCCTTAGAAAGCATCCCATTCCTTCCTCATCCTCCTCAAAATCCACCGCCCTCACGCAGGCCTCCTGGGCAGGAAGGTGCTCCCCAGGCTGACTTCGAGCTTATTCCTGGGGTCTGCTCAGTGGCAGTAGCCAGGGCTACTATTCAGTTTAGGATAATTACTAATCATGCCAGGTGGGAGTACTTAGCGAGTACCCTGCAAGTGGCGGGGAGCAGTCAGGTGTTAAACTAATTTACCACAGTGAACTTGAGGAGAAATTCCCCACGACACACACCTCTAATTGTAGTAGGTGCTCAGAATGCGTTCGTTGACTGACAACACCTGCCTTAAGCAGTGCTGTCTGTTAGAATTTCTGTGATGATGGAAATGTGCTGTATCTGTGCTGTCCAGTATGGTAGCCGCTAGAGGGGCTCCTGAGCATTTGAAATGTGCCTGATGTGACCGAGGACCTGAATTTTTAATTTTATTTCATTTTAATTAACATAACCCAGTGCAGCCTTTGAGAATGCTCAGTTTGTGGGTATGATCTCTATAGCTACCTCCCCACCTGGGGAGTCCTGTGGCCACTGCTGGACCGAGGGCAGGGCGAGGCTGATCCGGGGCTGGGTTGGGGCAGTGTGGCTGAGACAGGGCGCAGCCTGCAGGATCGGCTTGCGTTTGGCTGCAGATAGATGTTCTCCACCCGCGGCCTTTCCTCTGCAAAGGCAATGGGTCTCCAGATTACCCTCTTTGTAGTGCACTTTTTTGGGCTAATGAAGCTGGCCAATGATCTGCTTGTTTTTATGAAGATTAGGGATGATGGGACCTGAAGTCTTTCTTCCCAGACCATAGAGTCAAACCAAAACAGACGCTCTAACCCCGGCTGCATCGCTGGACCATGACAGTAACAGTCCCACAATTTCTTCAACTTGACATCCGTGAAAAATAAAACTCTCTATTCTCCAGGGTTTTGTAAAAGATCAGAGGCAGAGAACCAGAATTCAATGAAAGGGTGTCTCCTCATTTGAACCCCAAAGCAAAGGCTAGTATGAGCCAAGCACAGCATGGGGTAGCTGGCTCCTCAGGCGTCGGCCCAGCTCCCGGGGCAGTATGCCTCACAGGGTTTCAGAACTACTCCGGGTAGAGTTTTTATTTCATTTAAGTTGTGGAGCAAAGGTTGACAAACTTCTGTAGAGGCTCAGAGAGTAAATATTTCATGGGCTTCATGGGCTATAAAGTCTCTGTCACAACCACTCAACTCTGCCATTGTGGCTCAAAAGCAGCCAGACATGACGTAAACAAATCTGTAGCTGTGTTTCTGTAAAACTTTATTTATAAAAACAGGTAACTGGATTTGGCCCAAGGACCCCCAGTTTGCCAATCCTTTGTTATAAAGGATTTCAAGATGGCTGGAATTGTTTACTTTTCTTAGAACTTTCTGGATAATGACTTATGCATTGGATGCCAGCGAACAGGAGAGCCAATAAATGGTAGTGGTGCTGAGCCAGACTCTGGTCAGACTGTCTTGGTATGAATTCTGACTCAGTCACCTTTTGGTGGATTGACCTAAGCCACGTTCCTCAATTCCTCCAAGCCTCGGTTTTTTTAGCTGTTACATGGTAATAGTATTTACCTTACATGGTGGTTATGACGATCACATGAATTAATATATGTGAAGTACTTAGAAAAGTCTTGGCACAATAGAAATTTTAGCTGTTGTTGATGTCCCCTCATCACTGTTGTCAAACACAGTTGAAAATACTTGGTGAATTCCATCCAGGTCACATTAGGAGTATTCTCAAGGTCTGAAGTTTCAGTTTGTTCAAGGGCAATGGCAAATAGAAGTTCCCCCGGATTTCTTGGGTCACAGCTGCTGCTGTACTGTGCAGAAATATCACACTCCCGTTTCCTTCAGGTGCCCTGCCATATCGCCAATTGAAGAACCTTCCGTATCCAGCCAGACCAGTGTGAATTGATCCCACAGCCCCGTAGCTCAGATTCCCACTTTGCACTGCTCGTGGTGCTGGTAACGCAGGACTTCTCAGATACGGGGTCCTTGAGTTGTATTTATGATCTCGGAAGACTAGAAAAGTTAGGAAAGTAACTTTCATCCCAAGCACCTTCCAAAAGGACACTTTGCTTTTCCCTTCCACTGCCAGGAGACCCTGCCAGGGGAAGCCCCAACTTTTTTGACAGATGGGGAAGTTGAGGCCCAGAGCTTTGAAATTGCTTACTCAGGGTTGCATAGCTAATGGCAGAGCCAGGATTAAAATCAGGTTTCCTGTCTTCTCACTCCTGATTTCTGATTTTTTTCTACTTCTAAGTAATAAATTCATATCCAGTATAGCATTTAGTACACAGTTGGTATTTCCTGATAAGGGATGTTCTCAGGAAGGGGTGGGGTCATACTGCTGGTTAACCCAGATGTATGGGTTGATTTCCTCACCTCCTTCTCTCCCCTTTGACTTTCCCAGAGCTCAGTGCCTCAGATGACAGCTCTCTATCAGATGGGCTGCTCCTGGAGGAAGGTGAGAAGGGGTAGTTAGGGACTGCTGTCAGGGCTGGGCTCCTACTGGAAGATGGAGGGCTTTGGCAGGGGTGCCAGGTTGGGCTCAGGGTCTCCGCTCCTACTGGATGGTAATTTCTATGTGCCCCTGGGCATGTTCGTTTGAGGGTGGGGATGTGCTGACCCTTTCCCAATCTAGAAGTTCGATCATTTTGACAGGGAAGGAAAAAGTGAATTCTAACAGAACCCTGGGACATTATTTCAGTACGCACTTGTTAGACCCTAAGAGCCATCTGGCCACAATCATTGCCCTTTTTGAATAGAAGGTAGCACTGGGGACGGAAACACACTCAATAGATTAAAAACCCTGTTTGTAAACCCTAAGGATGCTACGGGTCAAGGTGGACCAAGAGGGTAGCACAGTCCTGCCTAAGGGAGTGCCCAGGTCAATAAGGGAATAGCACACATGGGCACGGCATGAACCAGAAAAATCGGTAAGCAGATGGTTAGCTGCAGACATGGTAGTAGGAGCAAAGGTTAGAAGGTGGAATAATGTGAGCTAAGGGGAGTCAATCTGGGGAGGCTTCTTGAAGGAGGCAGGTATAAAACAGCTGTGGGGGAGGAAGTCCCAAAGAAGAAAACACCTTCGAGCGTCTGGGCCTGGAGCCACAGCGTGGAGCAGCCAGACAAGCAGCCATGGGAGGAAGAGCAAGGCATGGGCCATGGAGGTTCTTGGGCCAGTTTTCCAGCCGCTGCCTTCAGCAGGTTCTTTCACCCCTGCAGAAGAATCCCAGGTGCCAAAACCTCCCCCGGAGTCCCCAGCTCCACCTTCCCGGCCTCTGCCACCCCAGAGCCTCGAAGGCCTGCAGCCAGCAGGACCTGAGACTGGGGCCCTAGAGCGGGCCCCAATCCAGAACAGCCCCTGGAAGGAGACCAGCCTGGACCACCCCTATGAGAAGCCCAGAAAGTCTTCTGAACCCAATAGCGAGTCCAGGTCAGGACGGGGAGGAAGCTGGGGTGGGGGGGGAAGGGGTACGAACAGGGTAAGGCATGGGAGACTGCCCCTCTCCTTAACTGTGATGGTGGGAGGTGTGAGTTTTGGGGTCCCCTTCCACTGTGCCCCCTTCCTCTGCACAACTCAAGCCCCTCAATGGAGCCATTCTTGACGCTGACCTGTCTCTAATCCTTTTGCAGCAGCCCAGCCACCACGCCACAGGATGGGCCCGGTACCTCCAGCGTCTGGCTGCTAGAGCCTGCCTACCACGTGGTGCCCATCCGCAGCATTCCTGGCCAGCGGCAGGGCCGCACCAGCGCCCCAGCCACCCCCGAGATGCAGGGGAGGAGGGGCCAGTCACAGTCTCTGAGGTAAGAGGTCACCCCAGGGATGCAGGGGGCAGGGACCCACTATTGAGAGCTTACATTTGGAGGGTGGTGGCTTCTAGGATATAGGTGGGACTGTGGGTGACACGTGGCTAGTGCTGTGGCTCCCTTCTTGGGGCCATAGGATCCCTTCTTGGGGCACCTCCCAATAGAGGCCGTGAAGCAAGCTGTTTTCTGCACAACGCAATTCATGTTTTCTCCCCTTAGCCATATTCTCTTATGGCGAGAGAATATGGAACTTGGTAGATACTTTTGCAATTGCTTAAGATTATTTTATTATTGGTCACTAGCAGTGGATGATTCACTTTCTCAATTGATGTGCAGTCAATTCTCATTATTTGCGGTAGTTTTATGTCCGATAAACACTGCAAACACTGAATTAGCAATACCAAATCACTGCTCCGAGGGAAGATACCGGGTTAGGCTTCTGGTCACAACATTTTGGTCAACTGATCAATACATAACCTTGTTTTATGCGTGTTTCTGTTTAAAGACACCTTATTTAATATATATTATTGACTCATTAACATTGAATTCCTGGCCAATAGCACTCTAGGTGATGCCCAAATAAAGCTCACCAAATACGTATATTCTACAAAAGACACATCCATAGTCTTCCCGCACTCAGGAACACCAGACAGCACTTAGTACTATGCTCTGGGGCCGTTCTAAATAGTGAAGTCACCAAGAAAAAGCACAAAAATACGAAACACGGGACACTAAATCGACTGTGGAGAGGACACTCATATATCATATTTATACAAGTCAGAGCACTGCCTCATTCCGTCTTGGCTGAGACTGTGCCTAGCGGGCATCTCCAAGTTTTCACCATTCTGTGCAAGTCCACAAATGACCACAGGTGTTGTGAGGGTTGATTTGAGGTCACAGATACATTTCGCTGTGGGAGATTTTGCAAAGACAGAATCCGCAAATAATGAGAATCAGCTGGATGTTGTTTCCAAGTGTTTTACCAGTATTCTTGGTGAGAGTCTCAGGGACAGCTAGGCCAGGCAGTGTTAGCTACACCACACGAAAGCCCTGGACACGATTGCTGGGTTCTTCTGTGGGTTTAAATGGGCTTATCAGGCAGCGCGGGAAGGGGTGCAGCTTGGAACAACTGCTGTCAAGGCAAGCAATGAATCTTACATTTTACAGACTTCCGGGGCTAATTTACAAACAGTGCCTTTGTGCAGATCGGTAAAAGGCGCCCCCCTCTGGGCAGACCCAGCCCCACCATATTAACAGGGAGGGCTCGATTTCAGCCCCTGCGGGTCCTGGGCAGCTGCCCTTATGAAGGGGCACCTTGCAGGAGGCTACCTTATATTAGTTTGGTGGCACAGCTATAACAAAATACCCCAGAGTGGGTGGCTTAAATGACAGAATTTTACTGTCTCACAGTTCTGGAGGCCCGAAGTCCAAGATCAGGGTAGGACTGGTTTCTTCTAAGGCTTCTCTCCTTGGCTTGTGGGTGGCCGGCCATCTACTTCCTTCACATGGTCTGTGCCACACCCAGCTTTACAGGTCCAGCTTAGATACCCGACCATGTCTGCCCGCACAGATTCTGGGGGTGTCATGCCACTGGACACAGGGTCCCTCAAGGGGCTGAAAAGAGGGGACATGGCTGGGGCATCCTTTCCACAAACCGCAGAAGTGTGAATGCAGCGGGAGGGATACGGTGCATGGCGCAGGAGGGCCAGGAGGGTGTCTGGGTGTTTATTTCGGGGAGGTTTGACCCAAGACCCGGGCCTGGGAGCCATGGTTCCTCTGCTGAGGCAGGGCCTCGGCCTCACCGGTTTATCTTACCGCCCCCCTCCCCCGGGGCCCAAGGGAAGAGCCTGGGCCTCCCAGCCTCCCAGCCTCAGCACGTCTCCCCTTCCTCCCCCAGGACGGATTCCTTCCGGGCCGGTCCCGAGGGCCGAGGTCGCAGCGCCTTCCCCCGCCGCCGCCCCACTCACTACACGGTGACCGTGCCCGACTCCTGCTTCCCGCCGACCAAGCCCCCGCTGCCGCACCCCGCCTACCACTCCTGCTCAGAGGACAGTGGCTCCGACGTCTCCAGCATCTCGCACCCCACGTCGCCGGGCAGCAGCAGCCCCGACATCTCCTTCCTGCGGCCACTGTCCCCGCCCGAGCGGCCTCGCCACCGCGGGGTCTGGGGCCCGGCCGGCGCGCTCTACCCCAAGCTGCTGCTGCCGCCCGGGCATTTGGCGGCCGGGCGCTACGTGCT